TTGCTACAGGAGTTCAATTATCAAATGTGGTCGATGATTCAGAATTAGCATTTTGGAAGGGCTAATTTAAAAACAGATAAAAATTATTGTTGTCTAATCATTCTAATGCAGGGCCAGATTCCCCATGGTCTTTGGCATGGATAGTTGCACGACACACCAACACGCTTTTAACACAATTTGGGGTTGCACAACATAACTAGATCTCTTTCAGTAATGATAATACAACAACAACTGCTATAGCCGCATATTGTGAAAAATAAAATACAAAAGGCTTTAGCAACATTGCTCTGCCAAATTGCTAAACCAGTGCTGAAAAATTTATGTTATTAGGTTCTTTTTTCAGACCAAGAGTTTGTTTTCATACCTGACAGTTTCGACTGCTCACTAGCGGTCTTCCTCAGAGTGGTCAAGTGACATTGCTGTGACGTCTATAAACTGGGATGAGGGGGCTTTTTTCCTCTCACACACCTGGGATAATATCCTGAAGAAGTCGCACTGCAGATGGCGCTGTCATACTGCCTCCACCGGAAGGAAGACAGCGCCAGAAAGTGTATAAACTGACCGGACATGTCACAGCAACATCACGTGACCACTCTGAGGAAGACTGCTAGTGAACAGTCGAAACTAATAAAATAAATTAACTAAACAAGAATTAAACTCGACTAAGATTAGAAACAACTAGAACCAGATACCAACAAACACACACACACACAAATTAAAAATAAACAAACAAATCTAGGACTAAATAATGACTAAACCAGCACTCACTTAGAATGAAAACCACATCTAAACCTTGACAAAACCAGTAAACAAGAGAAAAAGATGGTGGGCCTGATATGATCCCCGGGCCAAACATTGAATAGGCCTGTTCAAATGTCTTCCAAAGAATGTCCCATTTTTCCATCATTCCAGTCAATCCTATTTACTTACTATTCTTTTTGCAGTTCTGCATTTGGACTTCATTTGATATGGTCTGACACCAGGCATGAAATGGCATATAAGATTCTGACACAGTAAAGTTGAGTTTACACTAAAACGTGCAACACACTTTTAAACCTATCTCTTTTCTTCCATTTGGTCAAATTCACCAAACACACAGAGATTAAAATGCCACAGTGAACCAAATGACTACAGGCTGGAACTGTGATACTGCAAAGCATCGTCTGAGCATCAGTGTCAAAGTGGAAAGCTCGGCATATTATAGAAAACGTACTGCTTTGAGAGGTGGATATAGAACTTAAAGACATTTTATTTTACCTATTTTACCTAGCTTTTGATTATTCATGATATTAAATGACCTCATGTGAAGGTGAAGATGAGGCAGAATAACGCTGACAAAAAAGGACTTTAACTTACAAGATGTCAGGTAGATTTATTCCTTGCAGGCTGAAATAGAGAAATCATGTTATTTTGAATAGATATTTTCAATTTAACACAAGAGGACAGGGGTGCATTACAAAATGATCTCAAAATGCAGTGCCAACAGTGATGTGAAGATTTAAATTAAGATGCTGACATGCGCTAAATGATTTGGATGCAATTATGAGAACAAATTGAAAAAAAACATGGCTATGAGTTCATGCAACATGTTCATTAAATAGAAGTTCAAGCAAATACGGACAGTACAAGATGGCAGGGTCGGTGCAAAAGATGGTCCACAAAATATAGATTTAATTGGCTAGTAAGGCTGAAGGTCTTCACAACAATTTAGTTCCAAGGTCTGGTTAGAGCTGGTTACATCTAAAATGCTATGCACAGTCCTTATAATTGTAATGCGCTACTGTATAAGACTATATTAAAGGTGCACTGTGTAGCTTTTCTGGAGGAGGGTCCATCATATGATTGTCTTCATGGAGATATTATTGCTACCTGTATGTCTGGGACGTTCCACAGTAAATTATTAAACTTATCTATTTCCATGTAAGATTGAACCAAGTTAGATCTGTGGAAAAAATGCCTTGATTATAGAAGGAATTGGTGTTTTTCAAGGTATTTTTGCACAATAAAAACATCTGTAATTGAATAAATGTGAGATAGAGATGTTTAATGCCATAATAGTGAACATTCCAGCAATAACATCTCCACGGAGACAGACACTCCATCAGAGAAGTTCCACAGTGCACCTTTAAAGGGCCTGAACTGTTGACCCCTTAGTCCTTACCCTCTGTCTGAAGTTGAACCATGACAGAGAAAAAACTGGGATCATTACAAGCAGTTGTTTCCACATGGTTCTCATTCAACAAAATACTTTTCAAAGGAGCACTATGCGTCATCACAGTGGACCTTTAAAATGGACCTATTATGTTGACTTTTATGTGGTTACTATTGATTAACATTGTCTTTGAAAATACCAGATTATGTGCATTGTATAGGCTAATGTTTTGTCTCTAAGATATAAATCAGATACTTCCAGTTACTTTAAAAGGGACAGTTCGGAATTTTGGACATAGGGCCTCATTGCCTTGTTCGCCAGAGTGTTGGAGACGTGTGGAGACACTTTTTTAAATATTCCATCCAGTCCTTATATTTGCTGAGATCATTGGTGCTAGACTAGTGCATGTCAATGGGCATAGCCTTACCCACTCCACAAAACACCCAAAGCAAATCTATTATTACACCAGACTATCGATGTAAATGTCTGTGTTGTTACAATAATGTTTGAAATAAAACTAACTTTTCTTATATATCTGTCTGCTGCTCAGACATAAATCCTTCAAATGCAAGGTTTGTTTTACTTCTAAAATTATTTTATCGACACAGACATTTACATCGATAGTCTGGTGTAATAATAGATTTGCTTCGGGTGTTTTGTGGAGTGGGTAAGACTGTTTTTAATGAGAGGATAACTACGCCCATTGACAGGCACTAGCCTAGCACCAGCGACCTCTGCAAATACAAGGACTGGATGGAGTATTTTAAAAAAAGTGTCTCCACACGTCTCCAACACTCAGGCTAACTAGGAAATGAGATCCTATGTCCAAAATTCCGAACTGTCCCTTTAAGGGGCCCATATTACACTATTTTCTGATCTGTTGTTTCCTCATCACAAACATACCTGGAATTGTGTTTTGTTTCATTCACACATTTAACACACAAATCCTGCATATTTAGGCTGAGTTCTTCGCTCACACTGAAAACACTCCTTTTGGTGTCATGTGGTAATACAGGAAGTGCTCCATTGTGTTTTTAAACTCCGCCTTCACTTGAAACTGATGCTTCAAGGTGGAGCAGAGCATTTTGAGCTTTGGAGATGCAGACAGTAATAATGCAGGATTACACAAACGTGAATGAAACGAAACACAACTCCTGGTACATTTTTGATGAGGGAACAACATTCTAACATGACATGAGCTCATAAGGGTCAATTTTGCGTAATGAACAAACTACTCTTATTTGAGTAGTAGGTACTTTTACTTTTACTAACACTTGAGTACTTTTTTTTTTTTTTTTTTACAATTATTTACTACTCTACCCAGTTCTGCTATTTGAGTTCAGCCTCTTTGGTGAAGACCTGTTGCCGGACTACCCTCCCTGTTGTACATACGTGTTTTCACATAGGGGTCCCATCCAGGCAGGGGCGGAGAAGCTGGGCATCTGGGGCAGGGTGAGGGGGAGGCTGGGCACTTTGGGCAGTGGGACATTCGCTAAATTATTCGTCAGTGATCTTTGTAGATTTAATAAAGCAAAAGATAATGTAGAAAGAGAAGAAAGAAGAAATAGCATCAGAGTGAGAGCATACTGTTTAATAGCGGCCACTTGTTTGTTCTGAGGTAAACATTAACAGAAAAAACACCAATAAAAAGACGGAAAGTCACGGCTAGCTTCTTTTCAAGCTCGTCTCTTTCATTAGTGCGGCATCTTGTTAAAGAGTGTGGCTCTCAGTGCATTGTGGGAGTTCGTCCTTGCCGCGTATTGAGCCGGGTTTTTGTTCAATGGCCGCCCCGCTTGGTCTGTGCCGCTACCACGTCTTTCATTGTCCCTTTAGATCTGTGCAATGGTGATGAGTACACTTCAATAAGCATCGCATCGGGCAGGAAACACAGCAAAGACAGCAACATTTGGAGAAGGTATTTCACAATGAATTAAGTTATAGGCCAAATGGGAGCAGTTTACAAGGTGGTTTTGAAACTTGGGTGGTATGTGTGTAACTTGGTCTATGGTATGTGTATTAAAAAAAAATAAATTGAATATCCAAGTCCAAAAGGTACATCAGGTGAGTACATTTTTGGCATCTCAAAAAGCATTCACTGCATATGAATATATTTTTTCTTTGTTAGCTTTCTTGCTCACTTTTAGTATCCAAACTTCTCACCACAATTCAGTGTTAGGCCAGTAGCAAATACCAAAGTCCAGTTGTTTTGATTAAATTACTTACATATGTGCTTTTTTAGTCTGACGTTTAGCACTCTACAACAAGGACACTTAAATCTAACTTCGTCTCCATTTCAAAAAGGTAAGAGCTCCACCAAGAACGAAAAAGTTATAGTAATCGAAAGTATAAAATAAATGTTCCTTTTTGCAGTTTCTTAAAAGTTTTATACCCCATTTTGATCCATGAGTGACATTTGTCAGTTTGAAATGATAGAAGGGAGTTAGTGGGCAGAACTAACTGTGATTAAGAGGACTGTCACAAGCAGTTGTCTCCATGTGGTTCTCATACAACAAAATACAAATAGCTTTTTTTTTTTTTTTTTTACAAAACACTGCACTGCTTAAGGGCTCTTTTCTGACCTGGAAGAAAATGTCTTTAAGTCACTAATAAGAGGTTTTATAGACTACCAAAAAGATTCACATATCACAAATCAAACATCTAACAATACTGCATTTGCGCATTTACCTTTTAAATATTTCATGATAAAGTACAATGTAATCAACGGGGAAATCTGGCTCTTGCCCTCCCATGGGAGCATCACATCCGGGAATCTGAATATCACCAGTGTGAATGTGTCCATGTTAATACTAAAGCTAATGCTACCAGCTCACAATGTTGTAGTTCTTACTTGACGGATTGCCATGTCTCCTGCTCGAAGCCGCGGTGGATGGACTGTGCGATGGACGACTCCATGAGGTCAATGTAGCGCACCACCAGAGGCATGAACAGGTCCTGCAGGTGTTTGTGGAAGGCCCCATTGCACAGGTGAGCTGCACACAGGGGACAGGGAGAGGCCAAGGTCAGTCATAGCCATTCTGAGACAACATTATCCAGCTTATTCTGAAAGCTGCCATGGGCGCTGGGGATGGGAATGGGGGAGGATGCCAATCTTGACACCAAATAATTCTATATGGACTTCAAAGCTGTTTTAATGTCTAACAGAGAATCAGTGAATTGTTGACTTATTAGTGCACACGAACACTGAACATTTTACATAGCTCAGCCTACTTTATATCATATTTTAGCAAAACTTTTTGTATTGGGAAATGAATTTATTATTGTGACAGGCACAATTGCAAAGCTGCATACACTGCACATTGAATATTGTTTTGTAATGCAGAGAATTGCCTGGAATTTTCCACAGTATGGTATTAGACTTATCTCTATAGAAACAAGAAGGTGATATCAACAGCCAAAGTTAAAGGTCAGATCTGTGAACAGGTGAGCCCACTCACACTAAGTATGTGTTTTTCAAAGTATTTCTTCAGCAACAGAAACTGTAACTGAATAAATGCATGAAGCTGAACTCCATACTGTAGAACAGGCAAGGCAATAGCACCTCCATGAAGACATGCAAGTAGTGGACCTCCTACCAGAAAAGTTCCATGATTTAAACCTTTAAAGCAAAGTTGAAAATTAAGATTTGATTTGATTAAGTTAAATAAAAAAGAAACAGTTGCCTTTAACAAATAATTGTAATGAATACATTCTTAAATGAATAAGAATTTAAGTCTTTCCAAGACTGCTTACCAAATTAAAGAAACTCGCAGAAAACAAGTGTTCTTCAAGGATCCCCAGCTAACAACAAGTAGGAAATTAGAAAAGATACCACGCAAGATTGTTGTTGGTACTTATTTTTTTCAGCTGTCCATATTATGCAAATATTTTCAGTAGCTTTTAAGTGAGTATGTGTCACACTGTCCATAAACCATTGGCCATTTGTAGTTTGTACTCAGATTGGCCAATTTTTATAATATCACTTATACATACACAGCTGACTATGTTCATGTATACAGAGTTTATACATGTATAACTAGGCTATATAATGTGTTTCATCAAAAAGGTTTGATGTTAAACTGAAATAAAATAAGCTAGATAAAACATGCAACAGATTTTTAATATATCATGAGTAAGAAACACATTTTGTTTGAAATTTTAGCTCTGCCCACTTAGTCTTTTGTGCTGCTGTGATATTGCACCATGACACATAAACAACTGTCTGGGATTTTATCATGGAGTTGTTTCCTTATAGTTATGATTTTAAATGGTCACATTTTTACATAGCGCTTTTCCACCGTCAAGGCACTCAAAGCACTTTACAACAAAGAATCACTCATCCATTCACACACACATTCATACACCGGTGAGGTGAGTTAAGTGTCTTGCCCAAGGACACAACGACAGTATTCATCTGTTGAAGCTGAACAGGATCAGTGGACAAACGCTCTACCAATTGAGCTACTGTCGCCCGGTTCTCCATTTTCTGTCTACTCTTTGCCTTTTTGTCACTCTTAAAAATGCACTATGACAGAGAATCAAGTGTCAGGGAGTTGGTTTCCCATGATTCTTAGTAACAATGTGCCTGACAGGATGAAAAAATTGACCCTATCTGGACCTTCTGTTAGATATTACCTTAGAAAATGCTAAGTAAAATGAGCAGATTACAGTCTCCTTTTTTTATTTAGAAGCATTTACCATAGAGTGCCAGATTTAAAGAACATTCATCTTGACAAGAATAAATTAAAATCAGGTACAGGCCCTTTAATCTATCCATTTAGCTATCTATATCTTCATTTCTTTCTCCTCACTTTGAACCTTGGTGATGTAATGAAAGCTTCAAAGTTACATTTCCCTGCCCAAATATGAACAAAACACAGTAACAGGTGTTGACGATGCTTCCTGCCTGACACCTGACACTTGCAACTCCAATTCCCACGATGCTTTGAGACACACACAAACCTCCATCTTGGCTCCTCGGAGACGGTGTATTGTCGGCGAATCGACCTGTCTCGGTGGGCTTCATTAGTTTTAATTCCTCTCGCTCGGCTCTGCTCATGATTAACACTAGCCTTTTGGCCCACCAGAGAGCCAAAGCGCCTCCCTCGCACCCGCTTGCCATCACATGCGGACAATAAGTGAGCATTTCAACAAAGCACGACAAACTACTGAGCATAATTCACTTTCTACTCGACTTGAAAATCATTTGTGTCCATAGAGAGTCAAGGGAAAGCAATGAGACTTGGAAATATATTGTTAGGAATCGGCGTTGTCAAAAATGTCATTTTAGGAAGTTTGTGAGTGAATAATGACAAGGATTGTGACCACCTGAGTCAGCTAGGAATGGATAGGAGTTGAAAAGAATTATGTTAAAGTACTCCACCTGCAAGTACTACTAATGCTACTTTTAATGCTTTTTCTATAAATCACTGCAGACAGATATATTTTTCCATGTATTTAAATTTTTGCATAAAAGGGTTAAATGCAGGCCAAAAACTGCCAGAAAACATTTTAATCAAAATACATAAAAATAGTGGAGCCAAAACTGTCAATTGGACCACACCATTTATTTAGTATCCACTCTGACAAGTTCTCGTCACGTCTCTCCCTCTCTCTCGAACCCTATCTTGTGTCTTGTCTCGTCTAGTGTCAAATGTGTATCCTCCCACTCCTAATAAGTTAATAAAACTGAAATACAAGTTGATCGAGAAATAACACTGCTGTGCTGTATCAAGAGCACCCACTTCCAGCTCAGTTCTTTTAATCTTGGCCTATGTCAGAGGTAAAATACTCTATACAGCAGAAGCATAGTCAGTCTATGGCCAGACTGTGACCGGCCTTAAAACGCCCTCATGCCTCTTCTTCCAACTCTTGGTCTTCTCCAATATATTGTGCAACAGAAATCTTACCGAGAAAGTAGTACTAGTTTCTGTTATATGATATTCAAATATATTTATATTGAATTGTTTGTTTGTGTACATCTGATACAATTCATTGTGTACAATGCTTAACATAGGGCTGTAAAAATAATATAGCTTGAAAAAACATTTATATTAATATTGGGAGGGTCCTGTGAAAAACAACATTTGAAAAGCATAGAGAAAAAAAAAAAAAGACACTTGAGTGTTTTTACATGCCATTACAAAGCCATGCTTTAAATGCTTTATGATACTGCATGTATCCTATAAAGGCCTACTTCTTAACATTACTTATATTTGCAAACCCTTCATCTCACAAATTTGGTTCATAAACAATATTACTGTATCTAATTCACCATCATATAATCCCTTCCATTTACTACTGTTACAAAAAAACATACAGTTATTGTTACAACCATTCCCTTCCCAACTGTCTGGGTGATATCACATTTCATTACTATCACGTGTGTGCCATTATAATGAATAACCTCTGTGGAGCAGTCAAAACGATCATCCCTGTGTTTCGGCTGCGTGTATCGCCTCCATTCACATCGGGCAATGTTGTGACACTTGGAATAATTACGGCATTAGCAGAAGAGGCTAATTAGAAGAATATAAAAGATATGTCTGACTGCCTGTCTGTTACTGTACCAGAGCTCCTTTGGCACTGCACATGTTAAATAATGCCTCACTCCACGCCAAATTCTACAACTGGCACCGGGACAAAGACCGGAGAAGAGAGAGAGAGGAGAAAGCCAAGAAAATGGATTCCTCTCATAAAAATTATAAGTAGAAAAACATTGTACTATTGTGTATAAAAGAAACAGTATATAATAATGGGGGGAGAGTGATCAATGTTCGGTATACTAGCTTGAATCTGCCTAAAAATGCTAGCATCTTGGGTTTTGGCTATTAGGCCATCATTGGGCTGGAACTTGGACACGCTGCCAGGAGCCAGTTAAAACAGTTGGCAGTGGTCTCAGAGACAGAAGGGGGTAGGAAAAATAAAGCAATATTTGTACAGCACAAAAGCTTTTAAAGGAAATGGGCTTTTATGAGCGTTTTAGCATGTTATAATGGTGTTCCTTAGTCAAAGTTGGATTTTGATTTATCTAGCATTTCAGTGCTCTGAAAGCATATGTTTTCACCTCCCCCTATCCCCGCCCACAGTTCTGAATTGTCATTATTATTATGATTATAACTTCTTCAAACATGTTATGTGGCCCAGGAGTCCCCAATTCACCACAAACTATCTGGTATTGGGCCCAGGAGGAAAATATTATACATCTTGAAAAGAGTTCTTTTTTATAGTCTGTTTTAATGTGAAAATATAGTACAAATTAACCTGGTAAACAGCAAAAATTAATACTAAAACATATTTGAGCTGTCATGACGACATTCCACCAGGGCTCTGAAAATGTTTGTATGTTTATTTCTAGTCCTTACTTGGAAAAAAAAAAAAAAAAAAGAACTGCTGATCTACCCATTTTTCAACAGTAAAACATGAAAATCTACTATTCACTTTCAGTTCAGTCAGTCGTCCCAGTTCTAATAAAGAAAAGCTGTTTTAGATCAAGATAGCAGTTTACATTGAAAAATGTTTCAAACAATATATATCTTGAGATGCTGCAGTTCACTATGTAAGAGGAAAAAAACAAAACAAAAACATAAGGCTGCTTTATTTGAGTATGAATACTTTTCTAAGACATGATCTTGCCCTAATTTCCAATGACTGTATATTATTGCATTTAGGTTAACTGTCTTCCTTAGAACCAAAATAAAGAAAGTTTGTCACTGTAATAACAATTAAGCATTATTTTTTTCAGGCATGTGCACACATATTTTCCATGTGAATAGGCCCACAAGTTTTAAAAGCCAATGTGTGTTTTTGAATGTCTTTTTAATTGCTTAGCTTCCTTATATTTATTGTCAATACTGTATATCATTGTGTAGATAAATGAACAACTAGGAATAATGAATAGCCTATTTCTCCTTTTTTAAATCAAATCTCAATCATATTTCTGAAAATCAGTAGGTATGTAGAGCAGGTATGTTGCCGTGGTGACCTCATGAGCAAACTTTATTTACAACAGAGACAAGTATTTATAACTTGCTGCTCATAGGCTAATGTAAAGTTATCGGTTTGATTCAGTTTGATCCTTGGCCCTCTTGGTTATTCACGGAAATGTCCTTGGCCAAAGACACACTGTTACTGTCTATACAAATCCATACAAGTCCACTGTAGCCTCTATCAGTCCAATACTGTACTGACGGAAAATATGTGAAAGAAGCAGAACTTAATAGCTTTAGTCCAATTTCAATGCGTTCAGAGACTATGGCTGACCTCTTGTAACTGTGGTACAATGAAGACTTATGTAGGGCCACTGTGTGAGATGGAGCAAACGTACAATTAGAAACTATTAGCTTTTAATTAAGTTCAATGCTAGTCATTTAGCAAGATATTCTGCTCACTTGTGGGGATATAGCCTGCAGTAATTACATATACATATTTAGTGCTCCATTGTGTTTTACACACTAGAATTATTTGGGTAATTTTAGCACTGAAATTGCCAGTCTCTAATGAGAAAAAAGTAAAAGCTAGCTGTAAACTTGATGACATCATGAGGTGGAACAGAGTTTTGAGCTTTGGAGATGTAGACTAATATTAAAGGGTTACTCAAACATGTGTGAATGGAAAAACAAACAAATAAAAAAACAAATACATCCCCTGGTATGTTTTTGAGGCAGTAACAGCATTCAAACATGGCTTAGAGCTCACAAGAGTCCATTTTGTAAGATAGAACCTTAAAAAAGTAATTCTGCAAGTTATGTTTTTCACATTTTATAAACTGGTACAGCCCTCTAAATAAATGTTATATTAAGGCAGGCTATTTGATCACTCAGTTTAGAGTAATTTAGTTAACAACAACAAAAAAGCAACAGTCAAGAATCAATAATATAGATGCAGTGTAAAAAGTAAGTAAATCTAGTAACATCAACAGTAGTAATCATGTATATGACTTGAAGATTAAAAGATGACCTCTGTTTTTTTTTCTCTCTCTTCTTTTCTTTAATATATGTTACTATGTTTTTTGCAGCTGGTTGGATTCAGCAAGTCTTGAATTGACAAAAGAGACAAAACATAGTAAGACTGTAACACAGCAGAGATCAGAGACCATCAAGGCCCCACCCACCAATGGACCCACCAATGAGATGTGGGCAGACACCATACATTGTACCATGCTCACATGTGACTGGGTGTGGCTTTGGACTCACGGTCAGTCAGAAAGTAGTTGTTGAGGAGCTGGAAGAGGGGGAAGCAGTTCCATGAGTCCACGGGCTGGACCTGCAGTGCGCCGTCCATGTCTGCCTTGTACAGGGACAGGAAGTTCTCCGAGTGCTCCGCCATCACCTCAGGCCACCACGAGAATGCCTGAGGAGAGAGAGAGAGAGACATGGGGTTGAAAAAGAAATAGAAAGACAGGTGGAGAGAGAGACAGGTGAGGGACAGAGAGAGGGAGGAGAGAGAAAGGAGGGGAAGAGGACAGAGTGGCAGGTGGCGGGAAGGGGGCAGAGATAGAGGTAGAGAGAGGTAGAGGGCGGAGAGAAGAGAAAGAGACAGGTGGAGATAGAGGGGGGAGGCAGAGAGAAAGAGAGACAGATGGGTGGAAAGAAGAGAGAGTGGGGGTGACAGGGAGATAGAGAGAGAGGGGGAGACAGGTGGAGGGAAGGAGAGAGGAGAGAGAGAGACAGGTGGAGAGAGAGGAGAGACAGACAAGTGGAGGGACAGGAGAGAGACAGGTGGAAGGCGTGAGGCAGAAATAGAGAGGTAAAGAGGTTGAATGGGGAGAGGAGAGAGACAGATGAAGAGGGAGTAATCAACAGGATGGTGGAAGAAAGAAAGAAAACAGAGAGAAAGGAGAGAGAGGGAGAGAAAAGATAGAGACAGAATTGATAAAAAAGTAGAAAAAGGAGGAGAGAGGGAAGAGGGATAGGTGAGCAAGAGGGGAGAAAGAGGATGAGAAGGGCAAAGAGAGAGATGAGGGGAAAAAAGAAAGGGATGAAGAGAAAAAAGGGATGAGGAACGGGGAGGAAAAGAGAGAAAGAGAGTGATAGAAGATGGAGAGAAGAACAAGAGAGAGCGAGAGGGCGATGGAGAGAGAGAGGAGAGAGGTTAGATGCATGCATAATACAACGTGTCAGAAATCTATGTCTCCAAATACAAGACATGTTCAAATCAAAAGTAGCTTTTATTGATAACAAATCTAATGCTGACCTTTTATATTTTCAAAATAGTTTGTTATAATTTGGTGAAAAAGAAACGAAAATGTGTCCTTATATACAGGTTTAGTCACTGGCAATCCAGATCCAGTTGTGATTCTACTAGTAGTACTTTTTAACTTATATTAGGCTATGTTTATATGATGACAGTCTGAACAGAAGATGCAAAAGTGACATTGTGTCTTCACTTTTTATTCTGCTTTTAGACAAGCGTTTTTGGGGAGGAAATCCCTGTGCATATGTTGAAGCAAAAGTGTTTGGAATTTGATTGGGTATGCATGCCGGGTGGCTTGGTGGTGACGCTAGGTGGTGATGTATGTGATGTAAACCCATACGCGACATGACCAGATCTGACCAGAGTTTTGTGTCTTGGGCAGTGTAGACGGAAACAGAACAGCGGAGCGCATTCAACTTTTCTACTCTGGAGGGTGATTTCAGACTTTTGCATTTTTAGGCCCCAAAAATGCATCACCGTCTAAGCGAAAGGCAATTCTGATAAAATATTTTGTTATTTTTAACCGCAAGCGTTCTCGTGTAAATAGGCCCTTAGAGCAGAAAAATACAGAACATATGGTCACTGGTTAACGCTATGCTCATGTATAATTCACATGCTGTATATTCCCCATAAGAAATCACAGGTCCACACTCAAGATCACCAAGTCTTTACTGCCTTTGTTTTCCTCCTTTTCAGTGCAGCTTGTTTTGCCCTATAAAGATTTCTACATTACCGCTTTAACAATGCTGCACACAATGCTTTCTAATGGGCCAGGAAAGACGCTCACGAAAGGGTAACAACTAACAACAGAGCATTAACACAATGAAAAGCATAAAGGAAAAAATAAATAAATAATGCTATAATTGCCATGCGTTGGTCTTTTTCTCGTTGAAGGTTGATGCAGTAAACATTGAAATGCCATTACTGTTATGTCTACATGATTAATTATACAACATTATTTATTAGCTGGTTACTCAGAGGTGCAAGAAGGTCCTGTTTTACTGTGGAGTTTGCATGTTCTCCTTGTGTCTGGCTCAGGCATTCCAGCTACTCCTGACCACAATCCTATAGCTCAAGATCATGCAGCTAACATTTTACACTATTTAAAATGTAAAACTTAGAATTGTATTTTTTTTAGGTTGTTGCTGACAATTTTGTATTTACATAATCTTGTCACCATGGAGAGGTTATCGCTTTGCCTGGAATGTTGCACAGTATGACATTAAAATGAACAATCTTGCATTTATTTAATTACACTAGAGATCTTGGCTTGGTGGCGTAGCCTGCTTGGAGATAACACAGTGGAATATTCCAGGTAAAACAATAATATCTCCATCAGGGGTGTGCAAAAATATCAAAATATCGATATATCGTATTGTTTAATGTGATGACACAGTATCAATATTGGGGACTGCTATATCGATATATCACTTACAGTATATTTTAGGTATATTTTACTAAATTATTTTGTTACAGTGCTACAGTTTTGTTGCTTGTTCAGAGGAAGGAAACTCATTTATACAACACATTTGATATTTTCACTGTTTTGATGATTAAACTGTGCATGTTTCAAATGAACTTCGCACAAGAAGTAGTTTAACAAAGACTTTTAGCGTCACAGCCATGATTTACCCATTTTTTATTGAACCGTATCGAATAAATTTGAAGTATATCGTATCAAATCGAAAGTGCACTTTATCAAGATATGTAATGTATCGTAGCCTATGCATAGAGATATGTATCGTATCAGCAACTTTTTAATGATACCCAGCCCTAATCTCCATGGATACAAACAGGCAGTAGTCCCCCAGACTGTAAGGGAGAGTGGTGGCTCCCGTCAAATGAAGCTCACAGAGGCTCGCTGTTAAGAGGGGCAGATTTGGAGCCAGTTCCATATTAGGAATAGGAATTGATTTATGGACATTTTAAGATGAAAATGAGGGCCCTGACCCCAGACGTTACAGAGAGATTGTTCAATTTTAAAAAGCAAATAGGAGCCGGACTCAATGGAGCCGTAAGAGTTTCCATGTTTTGGAATGTAGCGGCTAGCAGGTTAACTATGTCCATTTATGTATATATACAGTATACAGTCTAGACCCCACATCAGAAAAGTTACGTGGTGCATTTTTTAAATGAAATACTAAAACATGGGAGGGAGGGAGAAAGAGAAAAGAAAAGAATGAAAATAAAATGAGGAAAAGAGTGAGAAGGATAAAGACTTTCAGAACTTTTTCCCTGAACTGAACTGAAGCAAAACTATAATACATATTTACTACAGCTACTATCCCACCAAACCAAGCTATAATTAGAAAAACACAAAAACCTGTCATATGCACATGCAGATTCACTACAGGCCCTCATCTCTATTATTGTAAACAGCTTTCAGCCTCAGCCTCTCTCCAGTGTACAGGGGTCAGAGGTCAGGAGCTCAGGTGACCGCTGGTATTGACGACTAAAGGAGTGAGTGAAAAGTACAACTGGTCTTGAACGCGGTGAGGTCATGTTTGCGCTTGTAAGTGGTGAAGAGGAGGAGTGACGCAGTGGCAGGTACCTGTAACCTCACCCAGAGACCTATCGAGTCGTTTTAAATGCGGCTTTTGTTTACTTTCTCCACTGGACTGCAGTACAATGTGGTCTGAAGTTAGAAGTATGAGTAGTGTATGTACTGAAATGTGTATTGATGTGATGTTCAAGGGGAAATAGTGGACTCTGGTAAATTGTACAGAAAAAGTCAAAGGTCTGTCCTTAGCAACCATAGTGAGCTGTTTGCAACCAGTGGTGGAACAAGTACTCAGTTTTGTTAAAAGGTGCACAACATTTCTTGTGGAGGCCGCCTCCTTGTCCAGAGCAACTCTCTACACATGTGAATTGTAACGTAGTGTAGTACTACTGTATAACCTGCTCATCTCCCTTGATAGATATATACTGTGGGATATTCTAGACAAAGCAATAACATTTCCATGAAGACAAGCCAGTAGCGGACCCTCCATAAGAAAAGTCGCACAGGTTAGGGTTAAGATCAGGGTTGGGTTTAGGAACAATAAGGTCAGAGCTTTGGTTAGGCCTGCTGATCAGGTCTCGGCAAAACTAGCTGTAAATTTTACACAAAAGAAAATTATAGGCTAAATATAGAAAGGTATTATCTTTTTAACAAATCACAAAAAAAAATACTGTCAATGTTGTTAAACCTTCAAATTTGCTATAATTAGTATATCCGTTGACTATGAAATTAACACTCTCTGGAAAACACAGCACACAGCCGTTGGTTAGCTTTGATTGACATGGAACATTAAGCCCCACCCCCCCAATGAAATGCAGAGAATTTATGGAGTTTAGGGACAAGAGGCAGTTTTTCCTTTTGTTTACATTGTACTATTCAAAAGGTAAATTCATAAAAACCTGATAATTCCTTTACAGACAAACCACAACCTCATTGTATTACAACAAAAATCTGCATTATAACATTAATAACATTAACTTTTGCTTCCCCCATTTGTATTAAATAACACTGGCCTATAGAGTGTTATGATGTCAATAAACTGTTGAAATCCTGAAAGGGTGTGCTTTTTGAATGCTTCATGACAGAAGTGGATGGAAGCTTTATCACAAATGTAGTATGATTCTACAAAGAAAAACATGTGAATGAAAAGGTTAGACTGCAGTAACGTGCAGGGATAGATGCACATAGAAAGAACAGTGACAAACGCCAGACAAAGAGACAAAAGTAAATTATAGAAATCAAGGTTAGAAAATAAGAGTGAGACGAACAAGGCCTAAACCTGGAAACAGTAATGTCAAAGTGTAATGCTTTAAAATATCCTCAATAAGGAAGAGGAAAACCATTTTTACTACCACAAAGTAGGCTTTACTGAGTACTATGGAGTGTTGGGGAGTAACTGAATACACATACTGAAAATGTATACTTTGTAGTAACATTGTGCTAGGGGTGTTCTGCATCTATATGGTGGAATATTTAGGAGATACCATGGTAACACAATGCACACATTAGCAAACACTGTCAAAAATATTTAAAAAATATCTGAAAATTCAAGGAAAAATACAAAATGGATTAAAACAGCACATTTTCTGAAGCCTGGATTTTTCTTTCTCTAATCAGTGATAAATACATGCAGAACAAACACCAAGTAGTTTTTTTATGTCCTCTTTACATGGTGTAAAAGTATTACTAATTATAAATAAGTTTACTAATTATTCAGAATATAACACTCTGGTTGGTCCACGCATCGGAATACATTATAAAATAAATTTTAGTGCAGGTATTGTAACGACTAGTAAATATCAAAGACTGTCAAAGTACAAATGCTTTCATCTCAAGTTTTTTGAGTAATAACACTTGTCATTAAAGAACTGCAAGATAAATGTGTTAAAGCCATTCTCTGGAACATTCAACCAAAGCAATAACATTGCCATTGAGACGGACCCTCTGAACTGAAAAGTTACATGTGCATTTTTTATTTTATTTTTTTTTTCCGTTAAAGCTATAATTAACAATATGCAACAGAACAACAAGAACAAAGCACCACCTGACAAAAATACACAAGTACATGCACAATACGCAGTAATGAAAGACACTCACCTCTCTTCCCTTTCCACGTTTGATTAAAAAAAAAAAAAAAAAAAGGAAAAATCATATGAGGAGTTGATGAGTTATTTACGTTATATGTGAACAGACTGACTTGATAATACATAGACAGACACAGTCACTCTTTAAGTGCCTTCATACATCCTGGTAGTCCAGTTTAGACTCGTTGTAGACTTGGCTTTTTCCTGGGTTGTGTGTGTGTGTGTGTGTGTGTGTTTGTGTGTGTGTGAACCGAGGACAAAACCAAGTCTACACAGAGTCTAAACTGGACTACAAGGACGTATGAAGTCACCTAAAGAGTGACTGATGGTCTGTCTCCAGGTATGTTTTTGAGGAGGTAACAACATTCTAAGATGACTTAAACCTCAAAAGGGTCAATTTTGTGTAATATTGGATCTACACAATAGGACAAATGTGGACAAAAATATCATTACCTGATTTAAATTTCATTAAAATTACACATTTATACAAACAATACTAAGTAACATTTTTCATTTTTCAACCAGACAGTTCCAGACAATGACACAGAGTAAAATATGATGCTCCACATTTTCTTCAAAAACAGTTACTCCTGGTGATGAAATTTAAGCAGTGACAGCTCGTGACAAGTTTTTTTTTTTTTTTTATTTGGATGATGATTTTCGCTCTCATCTGCAGTGTGGATGTAGCGTCTCCATAGCAGTGGTACATGTGCGTTATAATTAGCTGAGCAGAAGCAGATGTTTGAATGACACTGGAGAGGTTCGTCTCAACACCTTTGATTGATCAGTTTTACTCAGAGACACATATGGGCCGTGGGCGGTGTTTACATGGACGCAGCAGCAGCAAAGACACTAAAGTTACGGAAGTGCGTGTGCTGGTGGAGGAGAGGGACTAAGAAGGAAAAGTGATCATGGAGAGGTTCAACTCAGAGGTTCAACTGAGCATTTTTCGAACTGTAGAAAATGTGGACCAGGCCAGCGAGGTATAATGAAACTAGAGGAGTTCTTGTCATAGTAACAGATTTTTTAATACAATTTTTCTGTATTTATAATGTCCTTGCCTGTCAAATCAATTGTAATTGTAATGTGTAATTCTTACACAGATTTAAATCAGTCCGGTCCCAAGCACAACCAAATGTTATTGTGCAATCGGATTTGTTTTTTTCAATGATGCATGTGAAATGAAGGAGCTCAGTAAAAACGTCCATGTTCAACCAAACTAATGTGAACAAAACTTATTTTCTGCTGTAAAAATCTTTATTTATTTATGTTAGTTAAATTGAAAATGTTTCAGTGGATGTGGCTACACATTGCATTATGCAAACATTGTAAGTTTGTACTCCAGTTGGTCCTGGTTTGAGTGCAATTTAGTCTTGATGTAGGTTTGGTCCTGTTCTAGTCCTGATTCTGATCCAGGTCTAGTTGATCCAGGGTTAGTTCAAGTTAAGTCTGAAATATGATGGTGGGATGTATGTAAACGCATGTCATGATATATCAGTTTTATAAATTGAATTGGATATAGACTTCTTTCTGAATTTAAAACCAACAAGTTGTAGCATTTTTGAAGATATCTAATAAAAAAGAAGTCAGTGTATTTAACATTTAATAACATACATATTTATTTGATTTGTGTATTTGATTTATTTCTAGTCTTCAGTCCAGTCTTTCCTCCTGTCTGTGGCCTGACAGACGGATGCTATTTTGACTCTTTACATGAAGCCATTCCTGAGTCTACACCGAAATAACTGAGAACAAACAGATCCTGGGTTTGTGTCCCGAGTGAGTCCAGCCTCGTCTGTTCATGTCAGAGCAGCACCATCACGTCTGTCAAACTTCACCAGGAGAATTTCATAACTATAATTATCGAAGGCATTACATGTTACATTTTTGAAAAGTATAGATCATACATTTATATTTCTGCAATAAAAACAGTAAAAGTAAGTCAACCTTATCCATAATTATTACTTGATTAACCAGAAAAGTATAGATATAAAGACCCCTGAGCTATCAGGTCTACAGGTTAGAGTTGTGACATGTTTTTATAAATTTTATTTACATTTTGTGAGTATTAAATGAGATGTAAACATTGACAGTGCAGAGAGTGAGTGGTACCTCAGAGTGATGCTCCTCATTCTGCTGCAGGACTTCAATGCAGAGCTCCCCCAGTCTCATCATGTCCTCCAGCCTTTTTTCTGGAGCAGCCTGAGGGTCCACTGCAGGAGACACACACACAAACTATGTCAGAAAGATCTGAAATACTTATTCAACCACAAAATTACTTTTCTGGTGAATAATCCTCCTGTCTCCATGGAGATATTTTTACTTTACATGGAACATTCCACAATATGACATTAAACTTATAAACTATCTTATGCATTTATTACAGGCATCTGTATTTTTAAATAAATCTTATTAAGTGACTGGGTTCCCTTCTCCGTAGATCTGACCTGTAACTTAACCTGCTGGCATCGCCTGTTTGCGTCCAGGGAGATACATAATTTGAATGTTAGACTGTCCAACACTCCAAGCAAAGTACAAACATCTTTTTTAAACAACAATTTTATTTTAGTTTTGTTTCTCGCTCATGAAAAATAACCATGTGGGAGCAGGGGTGACGTAGGCTTGTGAGCTTAGCCTTGTACAGGCTGGTACTGCTAACCGTAAGGAGAAATTGAATAGGGCCTGGGAGAGATCGCTAAAATCCTCAAACATGAATGACATTTAAAACCTCTGTGAGCATGGTTTTGGATTTTTGGGTTTTGCATTTTGAATGTGTCCGACACTTTGACAGCTTCCTTATTCAGCAACGCTGGCAGATTGGCAGCCACAGAGTCAGTATTTGATTTTACCAAAATTCCAGAAGTACTTTGGGCTGTTTATGATTTTTTCCCATTTCATAGAGACAGTAGTAAGACTTGGCTTTATTAATAGAAGAAATATTTTGAAAAATCTATTATGATAAAACAAAAATGTGTACTCAAATCTCATGTTTGACAAACTAATTAATTTTCACGGGTGCTCCAAATACCTTAGAAAATGAAGAAATACTTTTAAGAACTTCAGAATAATGAAAAAGTAGTAGTAACTTTAAAAAACATTTCACAAGACCAAAATATGACCATCAATTCAATAAACAACTATTTTAAAAAGCAGGAAAAACTATTCTGTAAAGTTTGGGCCTGGGTTTTTAGGGGAAAAAATATTAAAAGGAATACATAACATAAGTAGTATTTTGACACTTATAATTGCTTTTATGTAAATACAGAATACTGGTAATAAGTACAGTATGTGTTTTGCATTATGGAATGACCAGTGTGGACCAGGCTTTTTTATCAGACTGTAATAGTCAATATGGATCAGTCCTTGCCCTATAATAACCAAGCTTTATGTCAAGTAATTAGGGTTTCTTGTTATGGGCAGCAATTTTAAGTTTTTATCTATTTATTTAATTAATTAATTAATTTATTTTTTAGTTGGAGCAGGTCAGCACAACTATTTCAAGGAAAATACAGAGTCTACATTAAAGGCATTGTACCTGATTTTACTGTCTTAAAATGCGAAAAACAGAACTAGTTTCATTTTAAACAGTTTTGCAGTGGCCCAAAGTTCACAGTCCAAAGTCCAAAGTTATCTTATGCATTCTAAATACACTAATTATTCACCGCAATGAGTTTATAAGCTCTTTTCACAACTTCCAGAGGTAAATCTAGTAAATCATGGTAAATCTAACAACAACTAGCATGCTAAGTGTTCACATAACAGACAATAAAGAGTCTTATAATTAGACACAGACAGCACGCAGTGAACATATTTTGACCTCAAGAGCTGCTATATGGACGCAAGACTAAATTTGCTCAGGTATAGGCCCTTTAAGTCATTGGTTTAAAAGCTTTTGTTAACTTTCACCTTAGATTTTTTGTCACTTTCATACAAGTTTAGTGAAATATTACAGAAATGTACCTTTAATTTGAGCATATTCGAGTAGCTGGTTGTAGTTGATCTGAGCGGCTTTCTCTAAACATTTTTGGACTAGTTTCTTCATCTCCTCTGCTGGCACTGGAGTGGTGATGTCCTTCATCAACACCTGGAATTAAAATACACAATACATTGTGGGTTTGCGTAGACTAGTGTAATTTGTAATGAGAGCGTTGAATCATAGAAGCCTTTCTCCACATCGTAAAATGTTCAACTTTTCTTTAAAATGCAACTGAAGCTCAAGATCCAAGATTTAAAAAAAAGTTTGAGATACACAGTGAGTGACCCTGAACAGCTGGAAAAAAAAAATACCACAAATCACCACATATCAAGGATCGAGTATGTTTAACAACGGTAGTAGTGCATTATCCAAAGCAATGAAGCTTTAAAGGTGCACTGAGTAACGTGGGTGATCCGCTTGTTTGTCTCCTGGGAGAAGATATTGCGTTGCCTGGAATGTTCCACACTACTGCAATTAACTCATCTATTTTGCATGAATTTACAGGTGTTTTTCTTGCTAACAAAACACATTTAAAAACATGCACTGTCTGTTACAGCCTCTACAAAGCTCTAACCTGCAAATGGGTCAAATGGCGTAACCTGCTTGTTTCCATGGAAATAATTTGAAGGCCATACTGTGGAACATTTCAGGCAAAGCAATAACATCAGCCAGAAAAGTTATATATAGTGGTCAACAGGGCAATGTTTTTTAACCCCTTTTCAATTATATTTATTCATTTATGTATTTATATATTTATTTAAACCCTTATTTTACCAGCATTTGAGTCAGAAATTCTTTACCCGTTCTTGCAGGGAGAGCGTTGCCTTCAGGGCCCCATCTGGTCGTCCGAAAGGAAAGCAGTACCTACAGGTAAAGACGCAATCAGCCAGTGCTTTTTGAGACCATTTCAAGGACAAACAAAAGACAAAACAACAAAATGAGAAAAATAGGTGGCATTTGAATATTGAAAGATGTGTTTAACAGATGGCCACCTCCTCTCCTCTCATTACTGCAGATGAAGACGCTTTTCTCACCTCCATGTTGTTAATTGACAAGTGAACAGTACTTGATAAACAAAGCCAGAGGGCCAGGCAGGTCAGACTTTTAATGGACAGGCACCTACAGGCAGATGTTGTCCTTGTTCAGACAAAAGAAATCTATCTAGATTTGACATTTAAGGTCAGTTTTTATTTCAAGAGAGCGTGCTAATATTAAGTTTGAGTTGATTTAATGGGTTATATGAAGTAAATAAGGTACTTATTTCTTAGTTTCAGAGCAGAGCAGTGATTCATACAGTTCAATATTGTATGGGTGACAGTTTCTGATGGAAGTGTAATCTATTAGTACAGAACTCGGATTTACGAACAGTGAAAATGAGCTGGTGTTCTCCTCTAGTTGAATTTGAACAGAATTTAAGGGGGGAAAAAAACAGAATTCAGAACAAATTCATGGAAAAAAGTGAAGCATAAAAAGCAATAACATTGCTTTTTACATTACATAAAATAAAAAAATATCTTGTTAGCAAACTTTATTTAAAGGTACGGTATGTAACTTTCTAAAAGTGGCATGATTCTATGGAAATAGAAAGTTAAAACCATACTTTGGAACATTCTTCATGGAGATAGATGCAATCAAAGTCACAACATTTCCCATGGAAACAAGCCGCTCACACTAAGGACAAGTGTTTTCCAGGGCAAACAAAACCAACCAAAATGGGAAAAAAACATAACTTTTTGACTAGAAAGTTACATACTGTGGCTTTAAATACATGTTTTAAACATTTGTTTAGTCCAAGTGTCTCTTTTTGTTTAAAATAATAGACTGTATAATTTTGTTCAACTTGTTCTGAGAAAATGTATTGCCTAATAATGGAAACGCCCCACAACAGCTATCAGCTTAAAAAGTAATTGACCATCATGTATTTTGATAGCACATTAAGTCAACTGTACTATTCTCCCAGCTTTTATTTTGTAATTTAGCTGATTTCCTGCTTTACATACAATGCAATTAAACGTAGTTAATCGACCGGACCAACTCTAATGAATAAAATGCAATTACTGACACTACTTTACTGGACAACTGGCAGTTAAATAGTACAAGGTTATGCGTGTTTAGACTCTTTAAACTAAAATCAACTGTGGAAGCCCTCCTCCTCTGTGTGCAGTATTTGCATAATCTCGACATTGAGGGCCCTTTGTTAGGCTGCATTAGCCTGTTTAGAGGTGAGCTTGTAATGATGCGGCTGGTCCCCTCTCCGCTGTAGGGGGCCAGATGGAGGGTTTGAATGGGCGGGCGGGGGAAGGCTAAGGGGACAGGGCTTTTCAGAACAGTGTCGCTCAAGGTCTCCAGGGCTGCGTCTTTCACACTGGCCTCACAATGTGTTCACACCATGGAGCGCAGATGAATGGGGCCAGCTCCACCACAGACCTGCACCTGTTGTTACGACGGACAGCACCAGGAACACCCAAACATGCCGCCACTTTTGACTACACTCTGCATTGTCAAGGGATGTTGAGGATTATTATTATTTTTACATTTGTTTTTTTAATTTGAGTAACAAAAGTCAGAAGAAATCATATCATATAGAAGGATTAAAGGTAACAGAACATAACATAACATCATATGCTTACTTCATCCCACTGGCTTTTCAAGCAAAGGGACTTTAGTTTAAATTAAAAATATTTTGTATGTGATATATTCCAAGATGTATTATTGTTTCTTTTTGTGTGTGTCCCATTTAAACTTAATTTGTTTGTATATTATTTCTATGAGGTTTGAACTGACAAATTACATAATAAGATCACCATGTTATCTTTTATAGTTCTAAAAAATGCCATATTCACAGAAAACAACTTACCATATTTTGTAAGTTTCAGTTTCATTTTCCACAGTCTGATTCTCCCGTGTTTGCTCCCCACGTTACTGCTACCCACTCCCCCCTCAGAGTGCTACCACAACACAATCAGCATGTATCGCACTAATGAGACTAATGTACATTGCATCAAGGTTTGTCAAATTGCTGTATACAGTTTTGTATCATCCTTTTGTATATTTATGGAGAGCTGTCGTGTGGGAGCATAGATGATGTAGGATTGTAGGGTGAGCATAGCACAGAATCTCACAGCTGACCATAAAGAGGGTTCAAACAGGGCCCACGAGATACTCCCTGTTTACGTTTTGTTTACAGAATTTACATTGTTGCCACAGAGGGAAACTATATACTATTCTTTTTCTTTTTTTATATTTCTTAAAACATGCACCTTATACAAAGGTTCTTGGCAAGATATTGTAATCTGGAAATGTCAATAGATGTCTTATTATCCAATCAAGCATTCAGATATTTGGCCCTACAGAAGGGTGACACATGTTATTGTGTGGAGAGTGTGTGTGGATGTTGTACCTAAAGTGTGTGATCTGGTCCTCCAGTAGAATCATGAGACGACTCCTCACAGCCTCAAACTGGTCCTTCTCTTCCACTGTCACCGTCCCCATGCCGTCCGGCCTGAGCAGAGCACACAAGAATGCATGTAATTTAAAGGTGCATTGTGTAGCTTTTCTGGTGGAGGGGTCCATTAAATGCTATTCTTCATGGAGATGTTATTCCTTTGCTAGAATATTTCATAGTATGGTATTAAACCTTTCAATCATCATGGAGACCAACTTGCAGGTCAGGTATCTGCTCACCATTTTTTTTTTTTAAGGTATTTTTGAGCTATAAAACCACCTGTAATTGAATAAATGTAAGGTAGAACTTACTTTAGTTTAATGTCATACAGTGGAACATTCCAGGCAGAGCAATGACATGTTCATAGAAAGGTGATGGATCCCTGGCCAAAAAGTTACATAATGCACATTTAAGGTCATACAAACTAGAAAGAAAGTAATAGCATCTAAGTAGTCTTGAAAAGCACATTATATATAAAGATGATCCTCAAAGTTAGTGCCAACTAGTACATACATTAGGATTAGTCACATAAATAGTTAATAAATTAACTTTTATAGTGAAAATGCATTGCAATCTTTATGTAAATGCAAACTCAAGCCAACTCAAGCTAAGGTGTTAATGGCTTGGAGATGGAGATTTGATAACATATTCCCATTTCTTCTCTGAAATTTTAAAGGGCCCATATTACACTATTTTCTGATCCATGTTATAGTATTGGTTCTTCATCACAAACAGACCTGGAGTTTTGTTTTGTGTTTTGTTTCATTCACACATGTTTAACGCACAAATCCTGCATATTCATGAGTTCTTCTCTAAAATTAAAAACACTCTGTTCCAGCTCGTGAAGTCACGAGGTAATACAGGAAGTGCTCCACTATGTTTTTAAACTCCATACACCTTTATTACAATCATGGATGATTTCAGCCCTGGAATTGCCAAGCTCTACTAAACCAAAGGTAAAAGGTAACTGTTAACTACCCCTATATGACAATACAAGCTGAAACGGAGCCTTTAGAGATTTGGAAATGTAGACAGATCAATGATAAAGGATTACTCAAACATTATTCAAAAATGTTCATTTTGTCTTCTTTTGTACATTAACTTCTTGCGTTCTAAGACAATACAGACGGAAATGTATTGACCTTGTTGACATGTTTCACCTGCAACCCATCTTTAACTTTGACCGGTGTTGATAGAGCGTGTTGTATATCAGCTCTTGTTACTCAAACATGTGTGAATTAAACAAAACACAACTCCAGGTATGTTTTTGATGAGGTAACAGCTGACTCACAAAAGTAAATTTTGTGTAATATATGACCTTTAAACGTGAATGGATTACTAGCATACTACAATGTGATATTATTATCTGCTGTCATTCATTTCAGATAGACAGCAGGGGCCTATGTACCGCTATGGAACATGGGAAATTTATTATCATTTATAAAGGACAGTTTTGCCAAATTAAACTCAAAACAGATAACATCCACACTTGTGACTGAATATCGCTACCCCTTTCAAAGATTACTGTGAAAAAAAAAATCAACTTTAGTTGTCATGATGGAAAGGACTTTAAACTTTGTGCTAGTTTTGTTTCATGTGAATAGTCCCTGTAATGACCCAAAAACCCAAACCCAGATAAAGCCTTTTTCATATTAGCTCATAAAATTCCAATAATCTCCAGCATTCATTACAGGGCCGAGGTGATAAAAGTACTTCAATAAAAAAAAAACACAACCGCTTTCCTCAAAAACTTTGGCCTGACCATTTTGTACTAGAGCACAAAACCTCTCATGGTTAGGTCACACTACTTCCACAAAGCAACCACTCGACATTGCAAAGAAATATTATTGGAACAAAGTACTGCAAATTCTTTGGCAAAGTTCAAAAGGACCTATATATAAATACTTCAATAGTCGACTGCTATTCTACAGTAACGTTAAAGCTAAACTATACGAAGTGAACGCCAATTGAAGGAACACATAAGGTCTCCAATGTGTAAATTGTATCTTCAGATCCATCACTATTCAAGATTTAAAAGCCTAGTAGTACACAATCTTGGCTTCTTTTATACTTATAGCTTAAAATCGGTTTAAAAAAGCTATCTCTTGTTTCCTACTGACTTCCAACCAAGCTACCAAACCCTTCAGAATGACCTACGGAGTCAACCAATCTACCCGGATCAACTTGAGTTTATCAGTGAGGAAAAATAGTGGTTCGTTAATGCTTGCCAAGTATTCATTGCCTTCACATGAATAGGTACTCTGGCAAAAAAATCAGGTGCCAGCGCGCAGCCTTGACTCCTCCGCAGATGTGAAAGAGAAAAAGCAGGCTCTCCAAACGGCACTCGCGGTCACCGGAGGGCCACAGGAGGAGAGGTCACTTGTTAATGAGTTGTTTGTGGAAAAAAAAAAGGTTTTTACTGGTCAGTCTCGTGACCGCTAGTCTTTGAGTAGCAAAAACTCCAACTGCTCTGGTGAAGTTCCTGAGTCTATGAGTAGCGAGGGAATAGTCTGAACATAAGAGTGAGGAAATAATGAAAGGGAAGGTATTGTAGGCGTGAAGCGGGTTGTATAGGAGGCAACAGGTGACGTGGGTTTGAATGGAGAAATGGTAAAGACTTATTTACATGAAGTGCGTGTGTGCGTTTGCCACCACTCAAAGAAGAGGTCAACCTTATGTCTGGCTTCAGAACATGTACAGGTGACATATTCAAGATGGAGATAAAGTAGAACGAGGAGAGCTGGAAATGTTTGGAGAAACAGAAAAGAGGTGAAGAAAAATTAGGGAATAATAGCACTGTGATAAGATTTTTTTAAGTTGTGTCTTAATAGTGAAGGTAGGTAGTACTTAACTTTTTCTTTTTTTAAAGTAAGTACTTCTTTAAAAACTTTTTACTCTTAGATTTCATGCATCACACTTTTACTCCTACTCAAGTAAATATTTTGCCTTGTAATATGAGGCTGCAATTACTTGAGTAAATGATGTTAAATCCAGATAGTTACACTTATAATAATTACTCTTACTTGAGTAATAGTTACACCCAAAATATTTTTGACCAAGTACTGTTTGCTTGAGTAAAATAATTTTTATTTTAACTCTTACTTAGGTACCATTTATGGTTACTCTACCCACCTCTGATTACATAATAAAATTTTGTTACTGCTGTCAATTTCATTCTGCAGTAGGGGTCACATGTTGGTTGTATGATTTTGGGAGGTTCCAGCATGAAAATTTGTGAATCTGTGGTATAAAGTAAAGGGTTACCAGGCTTTACACATAATACAGTATTTTATTGTTTGCAGAGGTCATGTTACTTAAATAGTTGCTGAGTTTGTGATTTGAGGCCATTTAAACTGCATTTATATAGACATTCATCTTACAGATAAAAAAATCAATTAACAACACTAAACCGTACAGGGAAACTGCTTTGTTTTTCCAACTTTTATCACTGAGGAAACATGTTCTTTTCTCTGCTATTGACTGTACACGTTTAGGAGCATTTTTAAGTATTCAGAAAAGAATAAACCACTCCATTTGATGTTAGCACAACTTGTAATCCTCTTCTTTAAAGAGTGGTCAGTGCCCCTCCGCCCTGTGATCAACTCCTCCCAGAACATCTTTATAAGAATGAGTTAATCCAGGAGGACAGAGCCCAGTGAGGGGAGGGGCCCCACTGAGAGGCTTGTCCTGTTCAAGGGCCTCACTGCAGGGGCCAATGAATAATGTGGACTTTAAAGAGCAGATCAGTGCTGTGCGGGTCTATGGGCATTCTCAAGGCCGCTCTCTATAGATGATTTTAGATGTGAATATATGGCATTTTAATGTAGAGTAGGTAGCATAACATTATAATTGAAAAAAAGGGTAGATAGAAACTTTTCATTTTTGTTTAATTTGTATTACTTAGCAAAAAATATCAATGCTTTTAAATTAGTTTTTGTTTTAGTCAGAAAAAAATAAATAAATATACTGAAATTGACAAAATTAACTGGTTGAGTAATGCATGAATTGTTTTATTGGAACAGAAACGTAAAAACACAGATGGATTACATTAAACCATTCCAATGTAAATAAATGACTGTTGTAAATTTTGTTTTAATTCTGAAATTAATAATTATTATGTTATCATGATTTCATTATGAAATATTAAAATACTCATGGCCAGAGTGGACCATTTAGATTAGAATTTCTGCTATATGTCTGGCCACAAAATCACAATACCATAAATTCAAATTAATACAGAATATAGAATAAAAACACTACTGATTCTGCTTTTACACAGAACATACTATAATATTTGCCATCAAGGAATCTCTGTGCTTTCAAAGAATATGTGAGGGTGAGGTCAGTCATTGTTAAACCACAGTAAATTTGTTATAAAAAAATCAAGGTCATTCCACTCTGTCATAATGGTCAAAGTGCTCTTGTCTTTATGCATTTATGACAATAAAAACAGAGGCAAAGATGTTATGCTGTGCCTGAATGCTGTTATACTGCCTGGATAAATCATATCCATGGAGACAGGCAGGCACTAGAAAAGTTCCATAGTGCACCTTTAAATGCTTTATAAAGAAGCCTGTATGTCATCCCTGTTTGGTGGCATGTCCTTAAACTCTCATGTGGGACTCAGAGCTCGCAGCGGGAGGAGAGGCGACAGCTTGTCAGGGTTCAGACACATTGTTGCTGCTAAATGAAGCGAATGCACCGGAGCCAAGGCCTGTCAGTGAAGAAGAGGAGGAGAGGGAGGGGAAGAGAGGGAGGGAGGGGGAGAGGAGTTTGTGTGTTTGTGTTCAACCTGTATCAAGTGTAAACGATAAGTTAAGGATTTGCCTGTAGCACTTTGGGTCATGGTGGAGATGGCAGAGCGATGTGACAGGGGACCAGGTTGGACTGCCACTCAAGGTTAAGATACGCAGGAGGATGTCAGGAACGATCTGTTTAACCATTTAGAAAAGAGTACACAGAAGAAACTAAATGATTTCACATTACTGAAGGCAACTTTTTTTTTTTGCTAATTAAATGATTCTTGTTTCCCCCCTTTTCACTTTGCACAGTATGATTCTGGCTGTCTGCAATGAAAGATTACTGTCTGTGAGTAAAATAAATACTTTACTACATGGAGTCAGACATTCACTCAGACAAACTCTGTAGTCACATCTGACTGCACAGTAAGCATGTGTGTTGTCTTACAATTAAAAAATATACAACTTTGTATACGTGACATCCAACAATCTTATAAAATGAGAGAAAGGAGGAGTGAAGAGTGAAGACCAGACTGCATATTTATTTTCTACCTTAGGACTTATTGGACAGAGGTCATTTCAGGAACAACTGGAGGAGAAGAGTGGATGCAGACATCCAGCAAATTATGACAGCTGGGAATATTCGGAATCTTAATGTTACTTATTAAGTGAGAAATAATTTGGAAACTTGAAATTGTTGTTTTGACAACAACTATATAATAAAAATGACCATAAGTACTATTGCTGCAAATGCTGCAAAAAGAGCTGAAAATTAAATAAAACAAACTTGCAGTGTAAGCTTTTAAGGTGATATTCCTGCAATTCCATTGTCAATTTTATAGTTAATTCACATTTTGTATGATAATTGTATCTCAACCTAGACATTTACAGGCATATTTTTGATTCAGCTTGCCATAACATTGTAAAGATCTTTATCAAGATAATAAAAATAAATGATCACCACCACTATCCCTATATTTCTGCCAACATTTGATAATAAGCCATCCTTCTTCAGACCCTTTGCTCTGGCCCCGGGTGATACATAGTGTTGTAGGGGGAAGTAAAAGCCCCTGTCAGGTCCGATGCACATTGTGATGTAGACAGATGCAGAGGAGAGGGACCAGGCCTGACAGGTAATGCTCCTTTAACCTCAGCCATTCGAAAACAGAGTTATCACCTGTCACCCATGTCGAATACAGAGTGTCAAGGCCAGAGCTGCGGATCAAGGAGGAGCATGCAAGCAAACAGTTGTGGATGATATCTTAGACTACATAACATTAAAAATCTTTATTAAATGTAGTGAATACTGAATATAGAGAGATAAAGAACTGCTAGAATTTGAATCACCGATTGTATTAAACTGACTCTTGTGAGCTTTAAACCATGTTAGAATATTGTTACATCATCAAATACATACCTGTGTTACCTTCAAGTTTGTCTAAAATTTTAAGTTTGTGGCATTTTTAATTTTTGCATTTAAAATCTGTTCTGAATCGTATACATGTATAATTATCACTAAGACATATCGCAAATGTTTTCTATCTATTCTGTTTGTAATTTGTCAGTTGTTCATGCTATCATTACATTAGCTAATTTTTAATGGCTGACACTACATGCTTTCACAGTTAAAACAGATTTGACAATCAGATTCTATTTTAATTGTGTTTTCTTGTTTAAAAGTAAAGGTAAACTACTCTCATTTAATGTCATACTGAGAGAAAATCTAATTGCTCTGAGTGGCAATGAGCTCGACTGGTTGCGGCCCCTCCAGGTTCGGCCTACTCTTGTCTAAGGGTAGCACCACCTCTGGCTGTAAATTCAAATTATAGTTTTACACCAATCAAGAAGCAATTTGCCAAGAAGAGTTCTATTCAAAAGTTGAACACAAGTTACATGTAAAAAAAAACAACACGTAATTTAAACACTATTTCAACAACAACTGAGGGCAGTCATCTTTTTTATTAACAATTTCATTTATTAGTTTTTTATTTTATTTTATTGTGTACCTGTACTTTTGAGAAAAATCAGGATCATATTTTTTCAAACTATAAATATAATTTATACATGACTGAAAAGAGAGATTCTGTTTAATTTAAAGGACTCATATTACACAATTTTCTGATCTATGTTATAATGTTGTTTCCTCATCAAAAACAGACCTGGAGTTGTGTTTTGTTTTATTCACACAAGTTTGACTAATGATAAAGGATTACCCAGTACATCTTCATAGCTCAAAATGCTCTGTTCCACCTTATGATGTCATGTAGAGATAGTTCTCATGTTAACACCTTTAACCTTTAGTTCAGTAGAGATTGGCAATTATCCAAATGATTCTGCTGAAGGTAGATACAGTTTAAAAACACAGTGGGGCCCTTCCTGTATTACCACAAGACCTCACAAGGTGGAACAGTGTGTTTTCAGTTTGAGAAAAGAACTCAGCTGGAATATGCCATTTGTGTGTTAAACATGTGTGAATAAAACAAAACACAACTCCAGGTCTGAGAGAGATTAAATGAGAGTAGTTTACTTTTACTTTTAAACAAGAAAACACCATCAAAATAGAATCTGATTGTCAAATCTATTTTAACTGTGAAAGCATGCAGTGTCAGCCACTAAAACGTACTTAATATAATGATAGCATGAGTAACTGACAAACTGCAAACAGAAGGGATAGAAAATATTACCCATATGTATTAGTGAAAGTGAAAAAAGTGAAAGAAAAAGAGAATTTTAATGATATTTTTAATGATAATTTTACAGTTGTTTGTAAATGGACCTTAGAGGTTTTTTTTTTAAAGGAACCCCTGAGGGTTTTATAGCTGTTTAAGAAATATGACAATTTTAACAAGGTCTCAACACTAACTCTGTTTAGGAATTCACAAATATCAACTATCACTAAATAAACACCTTCAAATGTTAGTCGAGCATCATTCTTGGTTTTCTCTAGGGAAAAGTCAACTCTGCTTTTTTTTTTTTTTGTGCCTACCAGCCAAACGCTCCAAGTCCGCCACCCACTCCCCTGCTCCAACAACACTGAATGCGCATCAATTATTCAAATTACAGCTCCAACTGTCAAAAAGCCAATTGCGGTAATTTCCCCCGATTTATAAGCACGATTAAGTGGAGAGGCTGATCGTTATGTTTTCTAATTGACTAAATGAGAGCACAAAGAGTGGAGGCACAGACTGAGATCAGGAGTGAGTCCAGGAGAGACACAGGGGAGGAAGAGGAAACAAAGATGGCAGTGGCAACAAGTGGCCACTGCTGCTCAAACAGAACCTCTATAAGTCACTGTTTCATCATAGCTGGAAGTTTAGACTCATGTGCTTTTTACTGTCATAGATCTGTATTTAAAATGTACTTTTTTACAATACTGATCTAAAACAACTTAAAGCTTCTATATTACCCAATTAACTCTTGTGAACTTTAAGGCATTATAATGTCCTTACCTCCTCAAAAATATACCTGGAGTTGGGTCTTGTTTGATTCACACATGTTTAAGTACTCCTTTATTATTAATCTGTCTGCATCTCCAAAGCACAAAATGCTCTGTCTACCTTGTAAAATCATGAAGCGTTCGTTTTCAAGTTAACACCTTCTGTTTTTTTCAGTAGAGAGAGACAATTCCAGAGCTGAAATTATCCAAATCATTTTAGTGAAGGTGTATGGAGTTTAAACACAGTAGAGCACTTCCTATATTACAACATGACATCACAAGTGTTTTTTGTTTGAGAGAAGAACTCAGCCTAAATATGTAGAGTTTGTGGGTTAAACACATGTGAATGAAATAAAACACAAATAGATCAATATGGACACTTTAAAGCCACTGTAACCGTTTTTTAATGTTTTGTAAAGCGTAGAACAACTAGCATGCTAACACACACTTCCACATGGTGTTTAATAATAAAAATGGGTCCATTTACTTTTGCTATTCTAAAGTGCAGAAATGATTCTCTGCTGCTGGCCCCACATTGTCATTGTGACATTTCACTGTAGCGAGCAGTGGATTCTTTGAAAACTGTCAGAGGAACCACAAGAGCAGAGCTGTGAACAAGGACATGAAAGATGCAAGTGGACATTTTCTAAGAGCTCAGACCTACAGGACTACTCGTAAGCTTATGTGAAGCATAAAAAACATAACATAGTTTAAACTCAATTGTGCATTATCTGTCTCCTTTCCAGGTAGAATTTATAGGAGAGCATTGTGTGAAATGGAGTGACGAATATGGAGAGACATTCAGTGAATAACCAAAGCCACCATGCATCAATGCAGTGTGTTATGTTCACTGATCACTAATCACAAAGCCACCATGCAGCACGTTATGCCCCCATTTTATAAAGAATATAAAATGATAATGTTGTGTGCCAGTACTTGTACATGTTACAATTTAATTTGGATGTACAGCGGACAGGCCTTACAAAAAGGTGTTTTCTTACAAAGAAAATCTAAGTTGTACCTAAAGTTTAGATTGTCAGCTTGAGCCTGACTGAATAAAAAAAAAAAAATTAAATCTTATTCCATAAATCCTTGAAGTATTGGGGCGATGTGGACTCATACAGGGCTCAGTGTCTCCTAGGCTAATGAAGTACATTTACATGGCTAATATTATCCTCACTACAAGTACAAGTTCAATCTACACAATTACCTGAAGAAAATGCACTGAGCAATGTGAATATTTTTGATTAGTTAATTTTTACCTCTGAATAAAAAGAAGAAAAGAGTGAGGAAGTAAAAAACTACAGGGTTACCAAACTATTATGTACATTGATTGTGATTATGGTTATGAATATGAACTATTCTAAACTATCTGTACTATCTAAGGAATTTATAGTTATATTATGATGTGATAAGCTCCTCTTAGTTCCACTTACTTCCTGCGCCTGATCAGTACCTGTTTCCGTGCACATGGGAGGCGCAGAAGGCGTAGCTGTAGTGGAGCAGCGTGGGGTCCACCAGGGAGCTGTTCTCAGAGTAGTCCATCAGGTCTTTGAGGTAACTCAGGTGTCTGTGGCAGCCCCTCACCCCATACCGTGCGCAGTACTCATCCAGGACGAACACCTGACCGGGACTGAACCAGCCCTGAGCGCACACACAAACACACACACAGACACACACAAACACACACACAGACACACACAAACACACACAGACACACACAAACACACACAGACACACACACACAGGGAAACAAGGACAGAGAAATCATTAGGTTCATGTGGCATCATAACATTCAACACCGATTTTAAACTGAGGTGGAGGTCAGAATTTCACAGTAAAAATAACTTTTTGAGAGTGAAACTGCTGAGGTTTTGATCTGGTTTATGGTTAATATGTATAATTCCTGGGTGTAAAAACAAAATGTAACAAACAAATGGTGATGAAACAAAAACTGTAACAAAGGTTAATGTCTTTTCTCTCATACATGAACTAAATGGAATTCTTCATTCACTATTTAAAAGTGGCAGCATTTTTGAGTCACAGACACACAGATGTTGTCAGCTGAAGGAACTGTAAACCATAGATTTTAATATAGCAAGTTTGTGGACCAAGTACCTGACAGAAAATTAGGTTTAAATATATGAATTTTCAGTAAGATATTTAAACTGTGGATCTCCAATAGTTATTTTGGCCTCTGCTCGGCATCCAAATATATGACTTTTGACAAACCATTAGTTTTAATTAAGATTTAGTAAGAATTAAGAGCCGTGCATTGTGTGGTTTTAAAAAGGTGTTACTCTCTGAAGTGTAGTTTAAACTTTTTACTGACATTTAACTATAAATAAAGCAAAACATATACTGCTTATTATTGTCTTGGAGTCCAAGTGCACATTTTCTGAAAGCTAACTTAACAAGCCAGATATTTAGATCCAAACTAACATGAAAAATTCTCTAGACCTTTGCCACAGATTTAATGAAGGCCACAATCATTTTGGTCTTTAATTACTTTCCCAACTTCAAATCTCACTTTTCTTTAAAAAAAAAAACAACAACAACTATATAATATAGCAACAAAAAATGTCAAAAAGCCAGCTGGTCCAAGGATCACGTGTTAAAACTGTGGCCAGCCACAAAATCACAGAGGGCCTGGAGATGTGTTTTGAGAAATAAAATGGCAGATAAAGTCTCACATCTGCCGCACCTTTTTCTCCTCTGAGCCAACAAAAAGTGGTGTTACCTTCTTACAATTATCCAGAGGTCTGCAGAGGTTAACTATTCTCAAGCAGCTGGAGGCGAGGAGAGGAAAAATACACAGAGAAATGTAAAGGTGTGGAGCGAGCGAACGCCTTCATCATTAGCTCACTCGTCCTGGGTGTAATCACTAAATTAAGCGTGAAACTTGCAACACTAATTAAGATTCCTGGTGGAACGCACATTAGCAAATTAGCACCTCCACAGAGCCGGTGACACGCAGAAGGTGACTTTACCTCCGCTGCACTGACTGGTTTCGCACTGATCACTGGGTAAAGTAAAGGATGGAGCAAGTTTTTTTTTTTTTTTTTTTTGGAAAAGTCAAGTTCTGCAGAAGATTCAACTTTTGAACAGGACTCGATTCAAATTTCAAACTCGATTTCGATAATAAGGGAGAGACTTGATACTGATTCTGATACCATGATGATAATAAAACACTAGAACATCCTACTCAACCTACTTCAACCTACTTCATTTATATTACTATGTAGCCCTATAACCTTGTAATCCCTCCATCATCCAGGTAGACTCCATAGTGGTCCATGGGTGTACACCAGTCTATGTGGTTTTATACTTACTCTAATACTGCTCAAGCTCATTCTAAAGCTATTCAGGAAAGTTTCATTTCTATCCTGTGAATGTGACTTTTTTAGTATTGACACCTGCTCAAATGAATGTCTAATTTCAGTAGTTTTAGTATCAATTAGTATGGATGCACCGATCCAACTTTTTTAGTTGCAATACCGATTTGGCCTTAAGTGTCTGCCCAAGTGGCACCTATTTCCTTAAACAACTTAAAACACAAGAGATCCAAATGCGTTATATAACTGTTATTATCTTTCACATAAACTACAGACCGGCTTCATATGAATAAAAGTTTAAACATTATGAGACATTCTAGACCAAAATCAGCCTGTGTATAGTCTCATTACATTCAATTAAAGGCCCAATCACAATATCGACTTAAGAAATATTAAGATATTATGGAAGCGATACCCAACCCAGCGAGTTTTTCAGTATTGGCACAGATATACCAGTATCAGTATCGGTGCATCCCTGTTGATTAGTATCTGGCTTTCTTGGTATTGTAATCAGTATTGAGTCTATTGTAATTGGTATGGGCTTTTTGAGCACAGCCTTGTTCAAATTAATCCATAATCCATAATCCTTAATTCTAGTTTCAATACTAGTACCAGTATCGATTAATGGAATGCACCAATTTCACTTTTTCAGTACCGATACTATAGCTTTGAGTATCTGCTGATACCCGATAACAACTGATACCAGTACAGAGACTGAAAACAGCATTTATTTCCTTTATACAAAAATAAGACAAAACTGATCTGTATAAATGATTTGTATAAATGCAAATAAAAAAATTGGAGAGACTTTGTGGGACGAGTACGACAAGTAAATAGTCTTATTAAATCAGTTTATATGTCCAACTAGGTTATTTACTGAACCGATATTTGGAAATTGATATCTAATGCCAGTATCAGATCAGTGCATCCCTATCGATTAGTATCTGATTTTTGTTGTATCGGAATCTTTATTGAGTCTCTTCGTCAGTATCAGTGTCACGATAAAAGGAAACAGCACTGAACCCATTTCTGTCTGTATCTTGCTCACAGTCCTCAGATCATTTCTCTTGTCAGTGCTAGTTCTTATAGAGTTCTCTGGAGCGCGGAGCCTCTTTGGTGAGGGCCTTCTGAGCGCAGCCTCCTCTTCCTCGGCTGTGTCCTTCATGCGCGCTCCTCCTCATCGCCGTCTGTGCGTCACGTCTATTAATATCTCACCGAAGGGGCTGCAGACAGGCGCGAAGTGACAAGATGTTCCTCCACCACAAACAGATGGCTAACTCCAGTCTTGGCGCTGACCGCTCAATTAGCAGCTAACGAGCCGACTGCTTCGCTAGCTCTTGTCAGTCTCCGCTTGCCGTCTCCCACCGAGCGGCGCCGCGACCCAGGGACAGTGAACGCGTCGCGGTGACCCGGGGAAAGTGATCGCAGCGTGGGGCCAACAGGCTTTGAGAAGAATCACCTGACTCCAAATCACAACACTGTTTTTTTTCTTTTTCGTGTTTTTTTTTTTTTTTTAAATCAACATTTTTTTGGCCCAAAGTACAAATTGACCTCGACCATCTGAGAGGGTTTACACGGCACACTGAGCTTCCAGAAAATTAAGCAGCAAATATGTTGTTTATAATTTTCAACTAAAATGAAAAATATACAGTAAGCCTTTTCTGCTCTCGACAAATGCTTTCTGTCGGATAATTATTTCACAAGGACTCACTTGACAAGAAGCATAAGTTTGAGATGCTTCAATAGTTTTCTTGCAGAGGCAGGCTTTTCACGGGCGAGAATTCAAGCAATGTTTTTAGTTAGTTTAATGATAGCCACAAACAAAGAAAGACAAGAGACATACAAACGTCCAGGAGGGAGAAAAGTATAGTCTGCACAATTAATCAAAATCAAATAGAAATTGCAATTTGAATGACGCAATTAGCAAATCGCAAAATGAAGTTGAAGTACCATCAATTCCTCCACAAACAACAAAATATCCTGTCATATTCTGCATAAAAAACTGCTAATACTGTAGTTTAGATCTGTACAAATATGCTCTGAAATGTGATTATCAGTTTATGTTTAATTTTCCCCCCTCAATTCTGGACTTCTTTAAAATGTGAACTTTGAACAGAATCTTATTAGTAAAACATAAATTGCAAATCTAATCACAATAGCACAGGAGGATATAGAACACATGTTAATGTCAATTTATTATTCTCACAACAACAACTACTACTACCTTCTAATTAACTAATTAACTTTTCCTACTATTAACTACTGCTACTGCGACTACTATAATTAACTAATACTACTACCACAATTTTCTACAAACTACTAACACTACCAGCTACTACTAACTACTTAATATTAACTACTAACTACTACTACTACTAAGTGCTTTTACCTAGGCCTACTAACTCCGACTACCAATAACATTACTCCAGTCCAGTCGGATCCGACTGTCAGACCATGTGAGGTCTACTGTGGTTTGCATGTTTTACCTGTGTCAAACATACTTTTGGTTCTAACATAGGTTCACTCCATTTCCCCCTTCCCAAAAGTAAATAAATGCATAGTAGGGTTGATTATGGGATCATGTAAAATAATTGTGTAGAAAAACTAAACCTAGTATTGCAAAATTATACATTAAAAAAGGTATTATTAAAGCCATAGAATGTAACTTTTTACTTATACTAGACTGAAATAAAAGCTTTTTGTCATTATTGATATTTATTGCAGTGAAAAGCATATGTTCTTACTGTGGGCTGGCTCCACAGACCTGACTCTTATTTGGCCTAGAAGAGGGCTTCCCCCTCCTTGTTTTCATGGAAATGTTGCTCCTTTTGTTATAATATTCCACAGTATGGCATAAAACTTATCCATCTCCATGAAAAATGTTCCGAAGTATGGTTTTAACTTTCTATTTTCATGAAATCGTGCTGTTGACTTTACACCTTCAGAAAGTTACATACTATCGCTTTAATAATTCAACCTGACAAATGACAGAATTACAAAAACATTAAAAGCATTAGTCAGTTATTATTTAAAATGAAACCCATTTATACAAAGTTATTTATGGTTTTATTCACAGCAAAAAGTAATTAACCTACTCATATCTGTAAAGATCTAAATTCAATCACGGTATGTAAATAAAGTTACTCAATAAAACACGTCAAATTCCTGTGAACTGCCATCTCTGTAGACAACTATTAATGCTATGCTTCAACATCAAAATGCACAACTCTTGTTCCTTTATGTGAACAGTTTTCAGCCTTTTCACGTCAAACATCATTTTTTATTTTGAAATGGAAAAAAGTCTCGCTT